AGTGGTCAGGCCTTGGAATGAGCTGCCCAGGGAGGGGGTGCAGTCCCTGTCTCTGGGAGTGCTCAGGAGGAGTCTGGATGTGGCCCTTGGGGACAGGCTTTGGGATGATGCTGGCGGTGATGGRGTGGCACTGGATGATCCCAAAGGGCTCYTCCTGTTTCTGGGATTTTGGGATTACACATCAAAGCAGCAGAAGGCCCACAGCTTGTGTAAAGTCTGGGAACCCAAAAGCAGGGAGGTGGCAGAGGAGAGAGGGGAGTGTTTTGGTGTCTAAGGGATGGGAATGTCCTGATTCACCCAGGAATATCTGTGGGGTGAATTCCTGGTTGTGACAAATCCCTCCCCACTTCCATTGCAAAGGAACTCAGAATCTTCCTTCCACTCAGTCACTGGCTCAGTTGGAATCTTCCCTTTTACTCCAGCTCAAGTGTTGCCCTGCTTTCTGTGTTTTACCTTTTTGAATGGGTTATTATATAAACAGGCTGAAACACACAAAAATGATAATTTAAAAACTTTCCTGGGGAAGGACCGTTCCCCTCACAGCYCCCCTCTTTGTGGTTGTTTCTTCCAGCTCCGGAGTAAAAATATTTTCCCAGTTGACACCATCGATGATCTTGCCCCAGACACCACCTATTGCTTCAAAGTTCAAGCAAATCTCCCCACAGAGGGAAAGCAGGGCTTGTTCAGCCCCATCAGCTGTGTGAGAACCACCCAAAAAGGTACCCAGGACATCAGTTTGTTTGCAAATGATGGCTCAGATTCAACTGGCAGGCAGTGGATTGTTCTGAGGCAACAGAATTAGGCAGAAGGGCCAAATTCCTCCTTGTTTTGGTATAAAAAATATGCATTACATAAATTTACTCTTCTCCGTCAACAAAAATACATCAGGGGTAAAGTTCTAATTGTACAAAAAGGTTTTGCCTTTTCAAGCAAGCTTTGCCCTTACTTTGGAATGTGAAAACAACAATTGCTTTTGTGTTTCGGAAAACTATTTTTGAATTAGTGACTGAATCAGGAGGAGAAGCCAAACTAAAGCCTCTGGGATTCTTGGCACTCARTGAATGCACAAAAAGTTGAGCTGAGCTTAAAAAAATATTGGTTTTACATAATCCTTGGTGGATTGATTGTTACAGCTGCTGAAGGAARGCTTTGAGGGGCAGTTTGCTCCATTGTGGAAAATTAAATTCTTTGAAGTGCTCTTCAGGGGCTTTAAGATGTTATTTTAGGAAAAAAAAAAACTRTAGAAAGTCCAATATTAGATTGGACGGGGGGGCACATCTTCATTGGTTGATGGTACATCAAAATATAAGTGATTGATGGTAAATGAAAATTACTTTACACATAAAATACATTCATTAATACACATGTGTATTTTTAAAATATTAACATTATTAATACATGCACATTTAATTAAATATTTAAATAATAGATCCATGCATGTTTTAATAAAATACAAAAAATTAAAATTTTAGAACATGTATTTTACACATTTTTCTCCTCCTGTTATTGCCACACCAGTTTATTTCTGTCCCTCTCAACATTTCTGTACTTGAATAATTTTCTGAATTTTTAGCTGATGTTTTAGGTAAGGTTTAATGTGATGCTGTGCCTATTACAGACTTTATTCTTCATAATGAATAGATGATTTTTACATTTTCATTATTGAAACTGTACCATTGACATGAGAAATGTCCATTGGGTGAGAAGTCCCTGTCCATAATATCAAATTTTTTTTGTAACTCTGTGTTTCCTTTTCATCCTGATCAGTGAATGACCTTCTGTGTGCAACCAACCTGAGTGTCCTGGCTTTGAACATGAAATTCCACCTGCTTTGGAATAACCAGGGTGAGCAACAGGTGAACTACAACGTCCAGTACCTCACGTGAGTGCAGCAATTCCCATCTCTGACATTTGAAATCCCGTTTCTTGCATTTTGCAAATATTTTCTAGAAGTTCAAGTTGAATRTTTACTGCTGCCTTCATGTATTAAATGGAACATTAATGGCTCATAGATGTTAGAAGAATTCCACATAACATCTGATCCAGGATTTTCAGGGGACTGGGCTGCTTTTGGGARTCCAGATGTAAAGGACTCCTAAATGCTGAGTAACATTTTTAAAGCTGGGAAATTTGAGTTGCTTTGTGGCTTTTTGAATGGGAAGACATTGCTCAAGTAAAAGTGAGCACAAATCCAGGTGTTGGAGGTTTCAGTTGTCAACAGCTTGGATTTCCTCTGGGCAGACCCAAAGAGGGGAAAAAAMCCATGGTAGCACATCTAAAAAACATTGTATCACATCCAAAAAGTGTATCACATCAAAACCCCATCAAGTCACATAAAAACCCCATCGTGTCACATGAAATAACCCTTGTATCACATCAAACCCCATCATATCACAGAAAAAACACTGTATCACATAAAGAAAATCACATAAAAATCATATTGCATCAAAAACCAAGGAATGCCATAAATAACCCCATCATATCCCATAAAACCCTATTGAATTACATCCAGAAGTAACATTAAGATGCCGTTCTATAAAGCTCTATCTCAATCTCCAGCTGTTGCATAAATACTGTGGCCAGCACGTAACTGAAGAGGAGGGATCCCCCTGGCATTCCTTGGGCATTCTTTTGGCWTGACAGGAAAGTAATGGACTGCACAGAGCAACGTGAGAACTTTTCCTTTGGATTTTCACAACTTGTCCACCCGACATTTAACYTCTCTCCTGAGGCTTGGTTAAAGCCCTGATTTTATTTCCTGGCCCTTTTATCTGCATTGTTCCACTCAGAAATGTCTGACATTAAAATATTGGGGTTTTATTAATAGAGGCCTTTTTTTCCAAGGCTGAACCAAGTGTAGCACAAACAAACACAGTTTCTTTGAAGAGTTCAAGGCTCTCACATRAAAACTCCTGAATTGCCTCTTGCAGTGGATTCCTGAAGAAGCTCAATGATGATTACTCTGACAAGTGGCTTAGTGTCCCTAAGTGTGAAAACATCACCCACACCTGGTGCAACTTCTCCTCCATCATCACCACCACGGGATTTTATTATCTGCGAGTGCAGGCCAGGGCGGGACACAACAGATCCTGTTTATTCAGAGAAGTCAAAGTGGATCCTCTGAAAACAAGTGAGGAAATGTTTCCTTAATGCTCATTGCTCAGCAAATTTGTGCCTTAATGAGCTGACAAGAGACTGGAGGGGGGATTTCAGAAGGGATGGAGGGAYAGGAGCCAGAGAATGGCTTAGATGGGATATTGGGAATTGTGTCACATTGACACAGAACCCTGGAGAGCCCTAGGAAAAATCACTTTTCAATAACAGTGACATTATGTCAAAAATCTGTCAACTCCAGAGGGAAATTTTAGCAGCTTTTTGATTTTATCTTTTTGTTTGCAGTTTTAGCTTTGCACTTTTTTGTTCTTGTGAGAAACATCACCTCACTAAAAAGTTTTACTTTGTGAAATTATCCATCATAAGCATCAAGAAATGTTGCTGTAATATGTGAGGTCATATTCCACTGCCTGAAGAGTGAMTCAATAGTTATTCCATATATCAGCTTTCTCTTGTCAAAGTTCCTGCTAATTAATTAATTCTTTTATAAGGTAACAGTGAAAATAATTGAAATATATTTCTCAGGACTTGATATTCTGATTAAAACTTAGGAAATTTGACTTTTAAGTGGATGTTTCTTAAAAATTATCATGGATTCCACTGACCATATTTGATATAATATTTTCAGTTGTATTTTTTTTCAGTTGTATTTTTAATTATTTTTTTGTATTGTTTCAGATGGAATTGGCCCTCCTGGTGTAAGGCTGGACATCAGTGACACTTTGCTCCACATCCTCATTTCTCCTCCAGGAGAAGATGAGGATGAATTCATGAGGGATCATTATGACTTGTCCTACAGGATCCTGTACTGGAAGAATTCCTCAAATGAGGAGGTATGAATTAATTAAATACYGTATAAAATGGATTCTGACTTAAATACTTAAATAAGAATTTCAGTTCTCCCTAAGAAGCTTTTTTTCCCAAAAGAGAGACATTTGTTTTGTACCAGTCTGAAAAAAGTCAATATATTGKTTTTTTTTCTGAAAGATTCTGTCAAAAATCTGATCACTGTGACTTTTATCATCCACTGGTTGAGATTTTAATGTAACTCTTTCAGAAATCTGATTGCTGTGATTTTTATCTCCCAGTGATTGGTTATAATCCCAATTTCCATGGATGTGGCAGTGTGCAGTKTGATGTAAGAAGCTCATAAAACACTGACATCCTACATGCTTTTAGCTCACATTTTAATGGATCTTTCCATATTGTTTAAATACTTCTTAGAGTAAAATATTTCACAGTAATTGGTGAAAGGGGGGAAGAAGAGAAGGAARGAGACTGCARCGGGAAGGAGTTTCCCGAAAACTTGGAATTTTGACATTTCGGAGTGGGGAAAGCACTTGGTTCTTGTGAGAATGTTTTCTGAATTTTGCTTAGGAGATCATGGAGGGGTTTCTTTTATTTTATTCAATCTCAGGGAGTGGAGTGGTGGARTCACCATCTCTGGAAGTGTTCCTGTGGCACCTGGAAGTGGAACAACCTTGGGAATGTGTTTTAGGGATGGTGATGGGGGGACTGGGTGAGCTYGAAAGTCTCTCCAGCCCTGATGATTCTGGACTTGCAGCAGTGTCTGACATTTCACAGAATGACTTCTCCATCAGAGGCTGCAATTCTCACCTGTTGGAGAGATTCCTGGCCTGTCCCTGTGATCTCCTCCCTCCTTTTTTCCTGTTTTCTTCTTGCCAGGAGGAGGTGAGGCAGAAGGAGGTGAAGCAGACCATCGCCACCATCCCCGAGCTCAGCCCCTCCACACTGTACTGTGTCAAGGTGCAGGCCTTCTCAGAGCCTTACAACAAAAGCAGTGCCTACAGCCAGCAGAAATGCATCCACAGCCCTGCAGGTGGGCACAGCCTGGGCACTGCCCCCTCTGCAGCTGGGATTGTCACCTTTCACTGCAGAGCTCACAGCCCAAGGCTCCTGGCAGCTCAGAGAGCGCCCCATTGGGCAGGGAGCCTCAATTCCTGGTCCTACATCTTAGGGGGAGCAAGGAATCCCTAAATCCCACATGTTCAGGGTTATTCTTTCCTTGAAATTGTCTTAAGTCCTTCTGGGAATGAATCTCCTGAAGAGTGAGGWGCTAAGTCAGACTCCTCAGAGCTGAAAGCTCACCTTGGTGCAGTGTGAGTGAGTGGGTTGCACTCAGAACAGAAGAACAAGTTCTGTGGTGAAGATAATTGGCCAAATTACGTTTTATTAACACTTGAAAGATTTCTRACTCTCCAAACTGCCTTAAAGCTAAGAAAATGTAATAACAGCAATGCCACTGCCTCACATTTAGGGCTCATTTATATTGTGGTCCTCACTGCTGTGCCTTATCAAGCCTAAAAAGAACCAAATGCTACTTTTTACCTGAATAAGATAAATATTTGAATCTGTTTTAGTTATTAATCTTCCCCCTATCTTACTATTTCAAAGAATCTCTTTAAACCCAGGCAGCACATTCAAGACAGACTATAYCCTGTCTTTCCCATGTTTTTATATCCCAGTGTGAAAATCCTCCATTTCTTGATCATAAAAAAAATATCTGATTGTGTCCTTTGCATTACTTGGAAAGTGGCTGCTGTAATTTAAATGTTACCAAACTCCCTTCAGCAGGCTGAGACAGTCACGGCATCATGGAATGGACCTCAAAACTCACCCAATGCCACCCCTGCCATGGCAGGGACACCTCCCACTGTCCCAGGCTGCTCCCAGCCCCAATGCCCAAACTGGCCTTGGGCACTCAAAGGGATCCAGGGGYAGCCACAGCTTCTCTGGGCACCCTGTGCCAGGGCCTGCCCACCCTGCCAGGGAACAATTCCTGCCCAATATCCCATCTGGTCCTGCCATCTGGCAGTCTAAAACCATTGCCCCTTGTCCTGTCACTCCCTCCAGCCCTTGTCCCCAGTCCCTCTCCAGCTCTCCTGGAGCCCCTTCAGGCCCTGGCAGGGGCTCTGAGCTCTCCCTGGATCCTTCCCTTCCCCAGGGGAGCACCCCCAGGTGGTGGTACTGGAGTGATGGTGGGACTGGAGTGATGGTGGGACTGGATCATCTTGGAGGCCTCTTCCCACTTTGGTGATTCCATGTTCCTGTACTGGAAAATATTTTGTGGCGTTTTAAAGCAAAATTATCTGAGATTCTGGCACAACATCAGTGTTCCCTGGTGCCCATGGCTGGGTGATGTGGGAATGTTGAATTATTTGATAAATAGTGCAGCACATTTGGAGTTGATCTGTTCTTTAATCTCTGCTGGTTCTGAATACCTTCACTGAATGGTTTTGATTCCCAATTTTAGGTACACCTTTACCTCTGCTCATCTTTGGAATTTTCATGGGTGCCCTGCTGGTTGTCCTGCTGGTGGCCACTCCTCTTGTTTTTGTGCTCTACCAAGCCTACAGCAAAATCAAATACGTGTTCTTCCCCTCCTGCCAGCCCCCCCTGAACATCGAGGTGAGCTCCCACTTTGCAGTCATTGAACAGTTTTTTTTTTTTTAGGAAAATTAACTTTTAAATGGGACGGAAAAATTTCTATCTGTCATCCTGTTGTCTTGTGGGTCAGCCATGATCCATTTGAGATGTTTTAGCAGCACTTTCCAGACCTTTGTCTGATTTCCAGCTTGGCACAGGTGGTGCTTAGGAGGGGTCCTGTTCTGGAATGAACGGGGCAACACTCAAGTGTGTCTTGAAACCTCTAAATCAGATTTGGCTTTAGCTCTTGGCCTCTTCAGGTTCTAATCCATGAATTGGGTCCATGGATCTGTGTTGCAGTTCTGTGGTGATTGACAACTGTGAGAGCAGGAAAAGAGCTGARATAAAATGGTGGAGTCACTGTTTAGTGTTGGATTCTGTGGGTGCAGCCAGGAGCTGGGAGCTGGGCTGTGCTGGGAACAGGGACAGGAGGAGAGGGAACGGCCTCAGGCTGGGCCAGGGGAGGCTCAGGGTGGACACCAGGAGGAATTTGCCCATGGAAAGTGTGCTCAGGCCTTGGCAGGGGCTGCCCAGGGAGCTTTGGAGTCCCCATCCCTGGAGGTGTCCCAGGAAGGGCTGGAGGTGGCACTGAGTGCTCTGGGCTGGGGACAAGGTGGGCATTGRGCACAGCTGGGACTCCATGGGCTGGGAGGSCTTTTCCAMCCTCAGGGATTCTGTGAATCTGTGAACTAAACTCCATCCTAACTTTGAGTTGTGAACTTAGGGAAACAAGTGAGGTGTTAGGGGTAGAAAACCACACAATGTTGCTCAGCATGATCATGGAATCCCAGACTGGTTTGGGTTGGGAGGGATCTTAAAAMTCATCCCATTCCACTGCCAGGGATCCAGGGGCAGCCACAGCTTCTCTGGGCACYCTGTRCCAGGGCCTGCCCACCCTCCCAKGGAAGAATCAGATAAATCAGATTGGTGTGACTGGGTTGTTTAGCAGAATTGGTAATTATTTAAACCAGTACATAATTTTTATTTWTGAATGTTTATCTCCCCTTCTGCTTCTCTCCTCAGGGCTTTGGAGCACAGCTCTTCAGCAGCCCTTACCTGTCAGCTGCAGAGGAGCCAGTGGAAAATTGCTGTGTGATTGAATCCATGATCACAGAAGAGGGAAATCAAATTAATTTTACAGACTACRAACACTGCAAACAGAGCAGTCGAGACTCAGGGAATTATTCCAACGATGACAACACTTCCGGGAGCAAAGGATCCAAAGAAATGCTGGAAAAGGAAATGCTGTAACTTCAGGAAAACAAAATTCATCCGTGGGACTGGAACTTCATAAATACTTCAAACCTCTTCGTGATGGAAGCCCCAGCCTGAGGGGGACCCTGTGRCCTTTGGGGTCCCTATGTTTGGGCTCCAGAGCTGCCCCTGCTGGGGGGAATGGTCTGAGTGTCCCCACCCCAGCCAGGGCTGCCCTTCTGCACCAGGAGCACCTTTGGGCTCTCCCTCTGCTCGAGCTGATGAGCAAACCCTTCCTGTGCCACCAGAGCTGCTCCTGCTCGTGGAGCTGTGGGTGGAGTTACCCAGTGTTTACAAGCCAAAGGAAATCCGTGCTGGACACAATCCTGTGGAGTTTTCATTTTCTTCCAGGCCTCGGGCAGTGCTTGGCTCAGCAGGTCTGAGCTAAAGGTGCCAAGGGAGCACAGAGGCAGCAGTGAGGAGGCTGGGATTCCTTGGGATTCCTCATGGGATTTCTTGGGATTCCTCATGGGATTTCTTGTGGGATTCCTCATGGGATTTCTTGTGGGATTCCTCATGGGATTCCTCATGGATGGGCCTGGGGATGCTCCCAGTGCTCATTCTGTGTCTCTGTCCCCATCCCTGGAATGTCCCAGGCCAGGCTGGACAGGTCTCAGAGCAGCCTGGGACAGTGGAAGGTGTCCCTGCCATGGYAGGRGTGGGATGGGATGAGCTGTAAGGYCCCTTAAACTCACTCTGGGATCAGCAGGATCCAAGTGGAATTTAGGAAATGCCTTTAGCAGAGGGATGAGCTTGGCATTCTCCCAGCTTTGTTTTGCCAACAGACTTTTCTTTGGACAAAGGATCAGGATATGCTGCGATTTCAGTTTCTGTGTTCCATGTTTTCCATACTGTCTGCACTGTCTTCTGGAGTAATTTTTTTTAAGTACCTTATTTTTTAATGAAGAAATTGCTTTGGAGTAAACTGGGTTGTTTGTTCTAACAAGGAACTCTTGATGTTTATATATCCTTTGTTTGTTTTTTTTTTTTAATTTTTACTTGATTTTATAAATGCACTGTCCATATGTTCATTGAGGAACTTAATAAATTTTGCACATTTGCTTCTTACCCTTCTTGGTTTTGTGTGGTTTTGGTGTAGTGAATGGGAGCTGCCCTGTGGGTACTTGGGAACTTCAAGGAGTTGTGCTTCCTGAAAATCCMAGTGTGAGAGATGTCATGGAATATCACTGCAAATTGAATGAAGGCTGCCTTGGGAGGGTGGTGTGATTTGGACAAAAGTTAATTAATGGGAAGGATTTCACTGCCARATTTTAGGGAAAGCACCCAGTGAATGTTCCTGAAAGAGGCAGGATAATTTCCAGACAATTCCCCTTTTTCTCTGAGTGTAGAAGCAAATGGATGCTGTTGAATGGGTATTTATTGTTATTATATTTTATGTTTTAACTGTGTTATAGAAAATCTTGTACCAGCTCTTTTCAGTGTGGCCAGAAGGAGCAAAACCAGAACTGCAAGGTGGAAAAACCCCTTGGTACAATGGATASTGAAGTAGCTAATATGAATATTTTCACAATAATTAATAATATGTAATTCATATTTTTAATACCTAATATTTAATCTGGAAAATTAAGTTCCCAAGTCAGTGTCATTCTTATTTTTCACATATATCCTGAAATGCTGGGAAAAGGATTTGACCAAAATGTTGCAGTTCACAGAGCAGTTCAGCACAGAGTACAAARGAGCTTTGTTGAAATGGATTTGTTCAATTCCAAGGTTTTTCTGAGGAATGTGGCCCTTGAGGTGGTTTCCTTTTTCCTTGCTCAAAATATTCCCAACAAGATGATCTTGGAGGTCTTTTCCAGCCTGAATGATTCCATAATTCCATGATTCTCCACTGAATGTCTCCAGTGGGATCAGACACAGCCCTGGTAATGACGGGATCCTTTCAAATTCCCTGGGTAAAGGCAGATTTCTCAGTGGTGACGGTTAAAATCATGAACAAATTAATCYAACTTGCTTTTTTGGAACCAGAAACACTTCATCCATGTGGATATTATGGGATAACTTCAATGAATCAGCTTCCAGCCCCAGGGAGGGKGTGATGAGGCAGAAATTCCTTGTTGTGGGATTGAGCTGGAAGGACCCCGACATCTGGGAATGACTTTCTGTGTTTGGTCCCACGTGTTGAGACTTTCCCATGATTTCTGCCTTTGGAATGGATTTTGTCATTAGGTTACTTTAGTTCAGGGTTCACTTGTTTGTTTATTTAGAATTTATTTAGATTTATTTATTTAGCTTTATTATTAGGATTTATTTAATGGATTCTGTCATTAGGTTACATTAGTTCAGGGTTCACTTGTTTGTTTATTTAGAATTTATTTAGATTTATTTATTTAGAT